TTTTTTTTTTTACAATTTCCTGCTGTCTCTCAAATTCCCCATCAGTTCACACACGTTGTCCACCTTTTCCACTAGACTTGATTCTTTAACATATTAAATGTAGCTATTTCAAAGTCTTCAATAATAATTACATCTTAGTCATGCTCATATTCTCTTTTTGAGATGACTCCTCCATCCATGGAGTCATGCTTATCCTTTTCCTGATTTTTCTCTCAATGGCCTCCCCAGTACATGGAACACACCAGATTCCACATGGCTTTCCTCCCCCTGGCTCTTTGGGCTGTTTATAAAAGGTTTTTATTTCTTCCACTTCACCAGTTTCTCCCTGAAGGTTACAGCTGGGGCTAAAATGGACCCTTCTCTCATGTCCCTTTTCACATTAGTGTTGGTTCCTCATCTTAGAGGCTTCTGAGGCCTGGTTCATATAAGGAGAGCTATGGCCAGCCCCCAAATTTGGCTTAAAGGAACACATCAAGAAATATTCCTTCCAATGCTTTGGCTTCCCTGAGTTTTTTTTTTTTTGAGGGTGGAGACAGTATCTTATTTGACCAAATACATCAGCTTTGCTCTGAAAAAAATAAAATGAGGCTTGTATATAGGATTAAAGAACCTCATTACTAGAAAAACACCATATATATCTATATATCTCCTTGGTTTCCAACCCTCTAGGCTTTACAGCTTGGCCCATTCAGGCCCTATTTGCCTTCAAGGAGTTAAATGGTTGGCAAAGCAGAAGAAGAATCTATCAGATATTGTGCTTGCTTGCCAGAGAGCGTGCTAGAGGACATCCAAAAAGTCAAAGTCCTCCACCACCTGGTTTAGCCACCAGATACCTGAAGCACAGTGCCAAGAACATATGAAACATTTAAAAATGTTACTGGTGTCAAAATACAAAAAATGTAAAAAATATGTATATATAATTGCATGTTTATAAAACATGTTGTCAGTTTCATTACACTGTCAAATTTAATATTCAAAATATTCCCATTACATTTACAAAACTTGTTAGATTTCATCTCTATGCATGATAATTGCTGAAAAGTCAGCCAAAACTACACATTAAAAAAACTTACTCATAGCCAGTTAATTTCCAAAGCAAAGTTAAAAATCCTTTCAAATTATTTAAAGCAATAAATTTAGTATGAGGTCATTTTAGGATGTTGGGTACAATTGGTGTGAGGCCTCCAAAAAAGAATAAGCCTGGGACCTGAAAAGCTACAAAAAGCCCTTCACTGCCACAGCTGTCCTATGTGTGACCTGCATCTGGAATGCCTCTCATCTCCCTCCCCCTCACCAGGCTTCCTTGCCTTAAGCTATGGCTCAGAAATCAAACCCTGCTCCAACATCATCCAAGAGACAGCTGTTCACATCCCACATCCTTTTTTTCCTTCCAGACTCTCAACCTTAAGCTGGAAGCAAAGGTGGGCGCCATTCCTGAGAAAAAGAATCACTGGATTGTGGGTTCTCTGAGGACAGGGCCATTTCCTAGTAATGTTTTACTGTGCCTGGTCCATGGGCCAGGTTCTTGCTGGGTGAGTGGAGAAGGACGGGAGGGCGGAGGCTGAGTGAGACAAGAGGCAGATGGCTGTGTGTGAGGGAGAGTAAGGGTGGGACAGTGCTCGTTAGCCAAATGAACTAACAAAAATAGTCTTAACTGAACAGACAGACAGTTGCCAGAGATGGCCTCCTTAGCCCACTCCATCTAGATTTGGAACCTCCATGTCTCCATTACTGCCACTTTTGCCATCACTCCACAGAGACTTACTCACCTTTGCCTCCTACCTAGTGACATGTGGCTCTGACTTGTACTTGACATCCCCTTTTGTTTTTATCTTCTGTGCTTTCATGCTTCATCAGTATTGCAGTTACTTATTTGCTCATGTCTTTGATTAACTGAAGAATTACTGGCCCCTACTATGTGCCAGGCACTAATCATGGCCGTCTCAGCTTGTTGGCTCCCAAAGGACAGGTGCAACAGTTGGGGAATCTTCTCTGATTGGTGTCCAGATGGTCATTGATCCAGTTCCAAAAATCAGTTGGGGAGGTGTGCGTTTCGGCAATGAGACAGAACATTTAAAAAATAAACACACTTCTGTTTTATTAAAAATATACAGTTTGGGGACTGAAGGAGGAAAGTTGAGTTTCTTAAAGTTCTAGGACTACTTAGCAACACCTATGGTGTTTGTTTCAAAACCCCAGCTAGGAGCCTGCATTTGGAACAAGTTCCCAGGTGATTTTAGTCATCCTAAAGTTTGAGAGTCACTGGCTAAGGGATGGAGTGGGTTCTCGCTCCTTCTGGTTTTTTAGGGTTCCAGGGAGGCACTCGCTTGGCTTTTTATGAACAAGTTCAGCTGACTCATCTGAGAGTTCCCGGCA